AAGTCTTATACCTAGTATGTATACAAAATCCCAATGCAAAGTGCAACGGGCAGTCATTTACATCGTAGCCATTCTGTGGCGGGCTCGAACTTGGCCGGAGCACACAACCACAATACTGTGAAACAGCAGTTCAAGGCGTTTTATTATCCCCACTTGTGCTGGTGGCTGCAGCTCCAGCCGGTGAACATGGGCGCGGAACTGCCGCCCCGGGAAAGGCAAGAGGAGCCCAGCGCTTTCAGACCCGACGTTTCCAAAACCAGATCCCAGCATTCACACTACTGGCGACATCCTTGTGCGTTTTATATGGCACCGTGCACGCAGAACACCGTTCTGCTTCAAGTAAATCTTTCCATTTTTATTTATCCCCTTCTGAAGCACAAGTGTCCCTCCACTCCTGAGCGCTTTAAGGAAAAAATTTGATTATTATCACAGCCCTGGCTGATGAGCCTTGAGGTCCTTTCTGGACAACTTCCAGTCCAACAACAGAACAACAGACCTCGCTCAGCTGAGTCAACGGCAACCTGCAGGCGTCTGCGCGCTGAGCCCATCACGACGCGCCTTCGCCTCAGCGGCTTCCGAAACACTTACCATGACAGCAAGGGGCGACCGGTACAAAACCCGACGTTTGCTCAAGGGCTGACCCTCAGCACCCCCGATGGGGGCTCAGCACAAGCCGAGATCAGGCCCCAGACCGGTCTGCGGTGACAATGCTAAGATTACAGAGCGCGTTGGCTCCCGTCGCACACCTGCCCATCAGTCATGGCTCGTACTCGTTGTACTCGACTTACGTTTTCTACAGCCAAGAAGGAATACATCTAAATTAATACAATGCTTAAGTAACTAGATACTGTTTTTACATTTGGTTTGAGTTTTTTTAGTGTTTCTTTTTAAATCACAAATCTCTTCATTCAGTTGTCCCTTTCTTTTTTTTTCACTTTGTACTCATTTGCGTTGCAAGTACACTAATTTAATTTCCACAGTGGGAAGTGGTTTCTAAGCAAAGTATAATCGATCTAAGAACAAAGTCTTCATTTGGAGTGATCTTATATTTGTATTAACTAAAGCATAATCTTAGCATTATTCATCAGATGCATTTTTTTAGTATCAACAGCTATAATATTAAAATTATACAGCATCAATTACAGTTTTTCAAGGGCTTTAGAGAAAAATACAAGCATAAACAATAAACCTGTAAAATATTAAGCAGAATATGACACAAACTGGCCATTTTATGGTAAGTAATATGGAGCCAAAGGCTCAGGTGATCAACACAGTGTAGCACTGCTGAAGCAAACAGAGTTACGCTGATTCGTATCACAGAAGATAGCTCAAATTGCTTAACCCTTGGATGCTAAATATCTGCCTGAATCTCAAGAAAGGTTTAAAAACATCTTTCTGATTCTTTCTCAATGGTTAAAATATTCAGAAATATAGATATGGTGATTCATAATTATGGTGCAACGTTAAAGTTATTAACATAATTTTTCTGTCAAACCTTCCCCATGCAAGGGCTTGTAAGGATGTCGGAAGAACTTAGGAAGACCTTTTCCAAGAATTCCCTCTGTTGCTCTGTGCCGGACATGGTCACAGAGTGATAGCTATGGGTTCGTGGAGTTTTCTACCAAGACAGACAGGAAAGCCTGGGGCTCTATTTTCTGTGATTAAAAACTACCTGTGAAAAGCCTACATCTTTTCAGTGGGAGTTACAAAGATTACTCTATCACCAGTATGCGTGCATGATAAGAGAGGAAGGGAAAAGCAAGGGCTTTACAGATAACGCAGGGCCCTTGCTGAGATGACCCTGGCTTTTTACTTTTCAGCCCCTGGAATGCATGTGAATGTGAGTATTTGGGAGAATTTGGCAATATGCAACTTCCACCCTTGGATAAAACCAGGAGCGAAAACTTCTTCAGAGAAAATCTCATCCTTGAGATTTTTCATTCCAGTTCTTGCTGCTAAAGTCTTTGTTTCAGCTTTTAAGTTGGCTGCAGAAGGGCTATTTATTTTTGAGTAGCAGACCTCCAAAAAACCTCCCTCTTTGCCTTTACCTTTTAAAGATTATGAGAACTAATACTTTGTTAAATGATCTGAAGGCTCATGCTCACCTGCCATATAACACCTTAGAAGAAGCTTCTCATTAATATTTTGGGTAAAGAAAAAAGTGACTGAGTTACTGTATAGCGCTTGCTGTTTGTGCGTGACGCTGGGCCGGTGTCCTTGCTCTGTCCCCTGCAGCATGACACCTTCTCAGGCTGCTGCCCTGTACCTCTGTGGCCTGTGTTCCCCCACACTGAACCTTCGTTCTCCCAGTCCCTTTTCTTGCCATGCACCGTGCAGGACTTGAGCTGCCAATGCTGCCTGTTAGTAATTCGGTGGCTCTTTTTTTTTTTCCCCCTTTCCTACCAGCTAACTCCTCATCCCTTCAGAACTACCTTTCTCCCTGAAAGGTTTTGCCCCTTCGCACTGCTCTGTAATGCCTGTGCTCATCACATTCTGCCTTTTTTCTCTTGGTCACTCTCCTTCTCCATCATGTGTAAGCCAGTCTGCTCAGTACTCCCTGAAGCGGGCACCTTACAACAGCACGTGCTTTCCTCCATATGGTCCCTTCCTCCTGCTCATCCATTTAAAACAAACCTCTGAGCAGCCTTAAATTTGGCAGAGATGTATTTTCCCTCCCCTTTCCAGTGGTCGTACTTACGGTGCATGGCCAGTATCATGCCCCACCGTGCAAACCAAGGCTGACTCGCTCCCACAGCTACGTTCCAGGTTTCTTCCTTCAAGGGGTTCACTTATGACCCTGCTCCAGCTTGAGGGGACAGGGAAGATGACTGCTTACTTGGCTTCTCCAGTTCATTCATGGTCATCTTTCTTTTCTCCTATTTTTTTGAGGAAGCCTCTCAGAGTGGTGGACCGTCAGCCCAGCAAGTCAATGTAGGATATCTCTGTGGACTTGCTTCCTAGTTTCTTTTTGTTCTGCAAAACATAGGGATTCAGACACATATGGCAGGACAAATATAGAGAGATGGTCATTATAAGATTCCAGCTTCACTTCTAAATTAAGCTGATTTTGTGCTGTTACACAACCTAAGGCAGTCCTTACTGTCTTAGATAGATAGATAGATAGATAAATAGACAGATAGATAAATTCCAGAAATCTGCTCTGTTTCAAGAAACTAACCTGTGTCCCAACACAAAAGATAAGAATCAGAATAGTGGTTCTCAAGTCAGGAGTCCACTAAATAGGGGTGAAAGTCAACAGAAATTAAATAGTGAAATGAGGGTTTACAAACAGGATTTGCTTTACAAGTCTGGATGTGAACCCAGAAAAACTGCAGTCTCCAGCAAATCAGTCTGGAATGCTAAAATATATCTCCAAGTATGTGCTCCTAGGCCAAATAACACCATTTTACTTGTAGGGCACTTCAGTTGCAGCAAGTAATAAGAGAGTGTAGCTTGAATAAGATCACCCCAGAGCCTATGAACACAGGCTGAGAGAGTTGGGGCTGTTCAGCCTGGAGAAGAGAAGGCTCCTGGGTGATCTTATAGCAGCCTCCCAGTACTTAAAGGGGGCCTACAGGAAAGCTGGAGAGGGACTTTTTACAAGGGCCTGTAGTGATGGGACAAGGGGCAATGGACTTAAACTGAAAGAGGGCAGATTTTGATTGGATACAAGAAAGAAATTTTTCACTCAGAGAGTGGTGAGACACTGGAACAGGTTGCCCAGAGAAGTTGTAGGTGCCCTATCCCTGGAAGTGTTCAAGGCCAAGCTGGATGAGGCTTTGGGCAACCTGGTGTAGTGGAGGGTTTCCCTGGCATGGCAGGGGGGTTGGAACTAGATGATCTTTGGAGGTCCCTTCCAACCCTAACCATTCTATGATTCTATGATTGTATGAATTAGAAAGAAGGAACCATCCATTACAGCATATCTAATGCAGTTTTGTTTCAAAGAAACAAACACACCTGTGCTCTGTTGTGCTGTTATTTGGCTCTTCAGTATCTTTATTATGAAAATAACATAATAGAGGATTCAATCTATTTTTGCTCTCTGAGGTGGCTTCTAACAGTTGCACAGATGGGTAACTTGAACTGCTCTCCACATGCAAGGGTGTGACTGATGCTGCAGGATAGCTACTGCAAGGGCTGCGGAGGGCACTCATCAGGGCACAGGATATGCTTTATGCCTCGGAGACTGGGCCCCTCCCTACCTGTGTTGCCATCATGCTCACTCCGAAAAAACAGTTGTTAACTTAAAGGACAGAGAGATGTGAATTTGTTTGTTTTCCCTTACGAAAAAATTAATAAAAATATTTCACCATGAGAAAATCAGTAAAATTTTGCATTTGTTTGTATTTTTTGATGTACCAACAATTAAACTGGATCACATAGAAGCCTTAAATCAGCACGTACTTTTAAATATGTGGCCAAATTTAACCACAGAACAGATTCACTGACATTAAGATGAAAACATTAAAGAACCTTGTTGATCTAAAGAAACTGTAAAATCTAGTATATAAATCCAAATTGGTAAAAAGAAAGTTAACTGCTTCAGGATTTCCAGATGTTTGCTAGGCTTGTGTAACTAAAAAATGCAATTGAGCTGCTTAATAGATAAGACAGTGTTTCTAGAGAAAACACACAAAATTAAATATGTACTATCACATTCATTACTTTTTGCTTTATTCCTCTTATTAAATAAAAAATGTACTGCTGTTTTAACTTTTGACTCTAAATTCTAGCTGCATTTGTGTAAAATAAAATGAATCAAAGATAGCAGCAGGTAATCAATCTCTTTAATTTGACATGTTCCAACAACCTTTTATTGTGTTTAAATACGAGAATATTTTACTTATTGCAAAGTATCCTGTGTAATACAGGTGCTCCGCTATAAAATCTTCTCTCTCGCTTGTAATTCAGTCATTCTAAATTTAAAATACTGGTATACAGTACTAAAACCTCCAATTGAAGTTTAATATAAAAATATCAGCACAAAACTCCTTTTTAAAGTCTTTTTATTGTGAGCAACTCAAATGCCTGTTTAATTATTATTAGTTGTAGTATATTAATAGACTTTGCACCCCTACTGTTGCTAATTCATACCATCTCAGGTATTTTGGTGAGATAAGAAATACTAAGTAAGAAAACAGTAAGTATTCAAAGGGTTAATTTGCTTAGAATAGTAATAATAAATTAGGTTTTTGCATCTTCTTCAGTTCAAAATCCAGCTTTGAGACTGAGGAAGGCTTCCAAATCACATCAATTAAATAAGAGTGGTCCTTTTAACCAGTAGCAGTTTGATTGCCAATGACTCGAAGAATCTCTTTATGAATGCTTGGTTCCTGTGTATTTATACTTGTATCACCCACTTGACCATCTTCATAACTAAAAAAAAGTACAGAAAATAAAATCAAATTAGTCTTTTATTAGTCTACCTCAAATCATCCAAAACTCTGCTTCATTCAATAATCAAGAGCGCTTCTTTCGTCTGTTAACATGTTTCTACCAAAACGCTCTGCTGTGCTTCTCCATTACATGCAGATCCTAAACTCTTGAGAGTGACAGGTGGTAAGGCTGCCATTGTCATCGAAACCCTGAGGCTGAATAAGCCACTAGGACCCAAAGGGGACAAGGCACAGGTGAGAAGGGAAATGCTCACATCATAGACAGGGAGCCTTTAACGAATTCCTCAGCTTTGAAACACAGAGCCAAATAGAAATGGTATGTTACGATACATGGATAGACTTACTGTAAAATGAGGTAATGCTGTAGAGTGGGAAAAATCCGTAACTCTCAATTTATTCTATAACAAAACATCTACTAAACCTTTGTCATTAGCTTATCCATACATTTCCTAGTGAAAGTAAAGCCAGAGAAAGAAAAAAATGAAGTGATACTTTGAAGAATTAGGAAGAAACGTCTTCAAATACAACTATTGGAGGGAACGTGGAGAAAAAGGTCTAGGATGAACAGAAGTTGGATGTTAAAATAAGCTTTGTACTCACACAAAGAAAAATCTTGTACACACATGATCCGTATTGGGAACTACCCATATCTCCCCATGTTTGTGCAGATCGGATGAGGTTATCACTGTCAGGGAAAGAATAAGTTTCATAGTGATGAAAACATGCCTGGAAAATAATGCTTTAAAAGACGTGGGTTTTTATACACTTTAAATAACCTTCTGGGAATGTCTAGTTTTCCACTGCATGTCTGTGGTGTTGCATAGACTCTGAGTTGGCTGCTAGTAAAAACACAAGAGATGAACTTGATTCTTGTTTCCAAAATATATTTTCCAGAAAACACAGATGCTTGATGTATGGGAGCTGGTCATTAATTGGAAGGAAAAATGAAAAAGTGTATTTACTAAAAACTGATTCTAAATGGCCACAGGGCTGTTAAGGAAGATCTGTGTCAACTAATCAGCCTTTGGAACAGAGATATTTGTGTCTGATGATGGCTAAGCCAAAATTAAAACACTAAAGACAAAGCCTGAAACTGAGATATGACAAATTTGGGATTTGCAATACCTCCAAATATTTAAAAAAAATCATAGCAATTATGACTCAAGGGGAACATGAAGCTTGCCGAAAATTGCTCAGTGTTTAGAAAACAGAAATGTATTTGATGATAGATTGCTTAGAATGAGAACAACACAGGAAGAAACCTTTTTATTGCTAGGCAGAAGCTATACTGGGAATCTGTAGTTGAACAGATTTCTATAAATGCATTTAAACAGCATCCTTCTAGACAAGTTGTCCAGCTGTGGGATGAGCAGGTTCACAGTGAGCTGGGTGAAGAACTGGCTGAAGGGCAGGGCTGAAAGGGTTGTAGTGAATGGGCTACATCTGGCTGGTGACTGGTCACCAGCGATGTTCCTCAGGGCTCAATTCCAAGGCCAGTTCTGTTCAATACACTTATCGATGATCTGGATGCAGGAGTTGAATTTGCTTATAATACCAAACTGGGAGGTGCTGACAGAAGGATCTAGATAGATTGCAGCATTGGGCTATGATTAATGGGATAAAATTTAACAAGTCAAAATGCTGGATTCTGCACTTTGGATGCAGTTATGACGGGCACAAGTATAAACTGGGAGAGGAGCAGCTGGAGAGCAGCCCTGCAGAAAGGGATCTGGGGGTGCTGGTCGGCAGCAGGCTCAATGTGAGTCAGCAGCGTGCCCTGGCAGCCAAGGGGGAAAACCACATCCTGGGGTACATAAAACGGTGTAACCAGCCGGTCAAAAGAGGGGATTATCCCATCACTATGTTCAGCGTTGGTGTGGCCTCACCTGGAGCACTGTGTGCAGTTCTGGGCCCCACGATTTAAGAAGAATGTGAAGGTCCCTGAATGCATCCAGAGGAGGGCAACTAAGGTGGTGAAAGGGCTGGAAGGCATGTCCTGTGAGGAGCGGCTGAGGACTTTGGGCTTGTGTAGTTTGGAGAAAAGGAGACTGAGGGCTAACTTCATTTCTCTCTACAGCTTCCTGAGAAGGGGACGTGGAGAGGGAGATGCTGAGCTCTTCTCCCTGGTATCCAGTGACAGGACACATGGGAATGGCTCAAAGCTGCCCAGGGAAGGTTTAGACTTGATATCAGGAACTATTTCTTCACAGAGATGATGGTCAACCACTGCAACAGGCTTCCTACGGAGGTGGTTGATGCCCCAAGCCTGTCAGTATTTCAGAGGCACTTGAACAATGCCCTTAACAACATGCTTTAACCCTTGGCCAGCCCTGAATTGGTCAGGCAGTTGGACCAGATAATGGCTGTAGGTCCCTTCCAACTGAAACAGTATATTCTATTCTATTCTATTCTATTCTATTCTATTCTATTCTATTCTATTCTATTCTATTCCATTCTATTCTATTCTATTCTAACACTACCATGAATAAATGCATATTCGTTTTTATACCGTCTTCCATGAATTGTAATTTTTAACAAAAATTTAGCTCTTGTAATGAATTTTATTTAAAATCTATATTAAACATCTCACCTAAATACTTCTTTACATAGAAAAATGAAGTGAATATGAATGATGTAAAATGTATTTTATAAAATATTTTAAATGTACCCTTATAAAATCAATAATCTATTAATAAGTGTGAGGAAAGAACAACATGGATGAAAAAGTCTTTGTGAAAGATGTAAGTTTTGTTTAGAAACTTCAGGTATTAAAGGCCAAGTAAAGTCTAGTAAACTCTAGATTAATTTCATATTTTCTTCTGAAAGTTTTAGAACTAGACTTACGTGTTTTTCTATCCGGATCAAATTGCATTTTCATGTTGACTGACATCCCCTTAATCATATTAAATATTTCATTTGAACATTCTCAAAAATTCATATATTAAAAAGTAGCATATATAACTTAAAGCTTCCCTTTTGAAATAACGTATTTTCCACCTTCTGTCTTTATTTTTACTTGTAAATATAAACAAATGCTCCAAATAAAGGGTAAACTGAGTTTAATATAATTTTTGTTTGGCCAATGAGACTAATTAAAAATTACTAGTACAATTCTTACTCAAATTACGTAATTCTTAGCTCTCGAAACCTGCCGAGGTTTCATTAGGTATTAAAAAAATAGCCAAGTCTTTCAAGACTCATATCCACTGGGTTTTAACTTCACAGAATTTCTGAAGCCGTCAGAAAGAACAGACTGGTTACCAGATGAACAGTATATTTGCCTGAACAGTGAAAAAAAATTACTGGGAAGTTCAATAGGAAAGCTGTTTTTTCTGAATTTTAGGTGTTTAATGCATTTGTCAAGAGCTTGCAAGAAGTCAATGTTTCAAATAAGGGCCATGACTTGGGTTATCTTGATGGTTTGGGAATATGATCACATTTGAAAGACAGACCAGATGATCAGTCACTATGTGCATATGATTATTTCATGAAAATTCAGCATGTGTTACACATTTTGTTGGAAGAGGGAAATGTTCTGAATGGAAATATAAAGGTCAGCTATTAAGGAAGCACTCGTACTCCTACCAGTAGTCTCTTACCTAAAAACAACCACCACTGGAACTAAAGGTCTCACTGATTTGCATCCAGTAACACTGTGTCCATAACTAAAACAGTTTTTCAAGGGCTTTCAGCTTACCTTCACATAAGGCTATGCATTTTAAGTTACGGCTTTGCAAAAATTGTGACTGTTGTCCTTTCTTCTGGGACTGGGATGTAAAAACATGAGAAAACTTAATTAGTAGAGTAAGACAAACTGAGTGAAAAAGTAAGAAAGGAGAGGGCTGCTATTTTCAGTGGTTTATTAACGAACAAAGATAGAGGCAGACTTTCTAAAACATTTCTATTGTATTTGTAAATGTAACAGACTTTCTAAAAACATCTATATTATTTTTTTGGATTATTGTAGGAGGGATTTGAACCCCTTTATCCAGAAAGAAAAGTTCCTAATTATTACAGAATGAATAATATTATTAGAAATACCAGTGTTACTGATAAACTGATAGCAGAAAAAAAAAGGTGCATTTGATCACCAATTCTTTGGCCACTACCTGATATTTTACTGGCCTTCCCATTTCTCAGGGCTTCTGTTGTTACATATCAATCATTCTCCAAAGCCAGATTTCTCAAAATTTAGCCCTACACTATAAAGGCTAGGAATTTGCTTTAGATAAAGCAGAATTGTAGTGGTTTAATATGTAAAAACCATGAAAACCAGACGTGCTATAAATGAAACGTTACTCATTTTCCAGCAATAACCACTCTCAGTTCCTTTTGCATCATTTTTCTGCAAGTCTGGAACTCAGAAAGCAAAGGCTTGCTAAGGGTCATAATGCAATCTGCATTTAATTTTCATTCTCTTCCTGAATTCTTCTGCTTGGAAAAGAAGGACACGAGACCACAGTATATGCTGTAAACTGTTACTAAAAGCAGTTGGGCTGTATTTGATGTTTGCAGTCTCTGAAGTTGTTGATTTCATTCAATAAAATAAAACCATTAGCTTTCACATAAGGAATATTACCTCCTTTTCAGCTATCAAATTCACAAGCATAAAGCCATAAATCTTCCAGAGATGACTGATGTACTGTACCTGTGATGTATTACTGCTCTTACTGCCTGAAGCTGGTTCATCTTTAGCTGACACCTTCTGCTGCTTCTTGTTCATCCCTAGAACATTAAAATCATGTAAGATACCCTGCATATAATGACCATAATAAGAAAAGTTAAGTATGGAGAATGAAACAGGTAGCACAGTAGGAATCACAGTCCTTTGCATGGCCCCCAAAAAGCTAGTTAACTTTGTCACAGAATATCTCAATTTAGTCCTGCAAATTACCAGTACATCTGCATGTATTGCAAACACCTCAGGAAAGTCAAGTTAGCATTAAGTAGGCGCAAAAGCAGATAAACATGAGCTTTAATGCCACTGAATTCAGCTCAGGAACGCTCTTAGGGAGTTGCTTAACAGAGCTGCATGTCAGCATGTGTTGAGTCTAACCGACCCTATTCAGGCTGAAGTAACACAGTTTGATTTATTGTGGGTGGGACGGTAAAATTTAGATATTAATCTCTGACACTTAATTTACATTTATTAAAAATCTAGTTAATTTTTAGGAGTAGTTAATTTATTTGAAGTCTACCTTGGTTTAACTAATTTATCTACATGTAAAAGTATTAAATTATTTGTCAGCCACATTGGATCTAATTTCCATCTCAGAAATCTAAACACCTACATTTGTGCCTTAGAACTCCTTTATATTTCCTCACGTTGGTTTATATAAAATGCCTGTATTGTATGCTACTACAGGCTTCCTTGCCTTTGCAGTATCCCATATTTCTTGGTGGTTTGCAAACCCAGACTGAATTATGGGCAAGTTTAACTCTTTGAAGGAACAAGGAGCGTAGGACTCCTCTGTGGTTTTTATTGGCATCAAGTATTACAAACTGCATAGGAACAGAGACCTCCTTTCTGGAGGAGACTGGACAGAAGGGACGAAGAAAGGTAGAGAGATGAGAAAAAACACACTGAAGCTGACAAAGCAGTGGCGTCCAAAAAGAAGGGCATTTTCTTAGATAGCGATACGGCAACCTGCACTTTTAGTGAGTCCTAAAAAGCTTCCCTACTCATGTTATCTCTGAAAAGCTAAAAGTGCACTTAGGGATTATGGATATTGAAATTCAATAAATAGCAATAAAAAAGGCTGAGCTTTTAATATGAATTTTGACATTACCTAAAAATACTGAAAATCAGAAAGCATAACTAAAACGCTCAGAATTGTCTACATGCACACCAACATACACTCAACTATAGCAGCACTTTCACATATGAAGAAATGGTAAATACAACATACCTAAAGGAAAAAGTCACAATGTTTTAAAATCTCTGAAGTTTCTTAATATACACATTGGTGTATCTTGTTTCTATCATGCTTCTCTTTATGATTTATTTCTTATATGGAAAACTCGGTGTGACTCACACTTGGACTTACTAGTGGGACAAATTATGTTTCCTCCTCTTCTCATGCTAACATAAACACACTGTCCTGTACTTTCTGTGTAATCCTGACATTGTGATACTTGGGAATACTCTTAAAGTTACACAGTTGAACATGTCTATTAACGAATATCTGTTCTGTCAGATCAGGTCGTAAAAGCCTCTGAATCCATAGATAATGTTAGGTGGACTTAGGCAGATACTGACAAAAAATCAAAAAGACAAAGTTGGATTTCCACTGCATAATCAAGACCTGCTCCATTACACACAGCATCCAGTATTAGCTACTATTTACTTCAAGCACAGTTTCAAGATACTCAGCACCTCAGAAAATGAAGATAGGCATTTAATAAGGGAATTTAGATTTTCTCGTTTTTGAATAAATTAAATCTTGGTTGACATAGATAAAATTTAATACAGTGTTGTAAACGGTAAAGCTGCTAAGAAAAGCAGTAGACTAAGATACCCCCCTATATTTCTCCAACTTTAGAGTGATTTATAAATATCACCTGAGTAACCAAATGATATGCTTGACAATGGACTAAGGTAGATTCCACTTCCAAACATTGCACCATGGAGCTGAAAAAGAGGGGAGTGATTATTTAAAATTAATTTGGCTATTTGGACAAAATAATAATGATGGAAACAGGTCATAATGTAGATAAGCATCTGCCCCACTGCACTAATTTATTGCCTAGTAATAAATGGGATTTGAAGAATACCATTAATTAAAAACCTGAAAAAATCATGCTGCAAATATACTACTAAAATACTGTGTATTCTGGAAACCATGTCCAAACACCCAAACATAATTTTACATCAGATTTATATGTAAAACTGCATTTTCTGTTTTTGAATATAACATTACCATGGAGGATACCTACAGCGGGTGCTTCTGTATGTGGCCAAATACATCTCAGACTTAATAGGGCTGAGCAAGCTCGGCATGTGTCTCACATCCAAACCTTGGCAGGAAGCACAGCCTAAGCCAGCCTTTGTGAATCAACAGCAGCAGCAGCAGCCGCTTTTGTTTTCTTTAAGGTAAGAAAGGAAGAGACGTTGATGACACTGGTCATATGCTACAGAAAAAATTAGTCACTAGTTCAGCCTGAGTCCTGGAGGAATGGGTTCAATCAAGCTTTTGCCTGAACCAGTTCAGACATGCATATGCCATCACTGCAGGACTGCACTTTAGCCATGAAGCTACAAGCTGTCTGAAAAGAATAGAAGAAAGTGATGACTATTCTTCACCAACATCACTGTTCCATATCATGAAGCTTGGGCTAAGCACAAAAGTGAGCAGTTTTTAATAGCCCTCCAGTCATTTTCTTGTCTGGAAAGGGGGAAGTATGGGTTTCACTTCTCCAGCAGGGACTGACTGCTTTATGTGGAAAAGCCTTTAAAGAAAACACACCGAGTAGTTGTTGGAGCACAAGTGAGAACTCTGAGTATCTCCTGCCTAGGTGGATATTATGACCAACGGGCTTCAGAGTCACGCTCACCCTTATTTCTTTCCTCTGACCCAATGATATTTACATTGTCTCTGCAATGTGCCAGAGCTATCACAGGAATGTGCAAACACGCTTTCATTCCTCCAGACTGTACAGGATCCTTAGCGACTAGGTATTTTTACTGACTGGTTGGTACAGGGGTAAATAGGATGAACTAGGCTCAGCATACACTAAAAACGAGACTTGTATAAAATAGGGCTTTACTGCTTCCTCCTATTCCCAGTATCTCAACCCTCAACAAAATAGTAAGCGTAAACAAAGGGGTTTACTTTTGTGAATTTTGGTGTGTAAATCCCACTTTCCTGGGGAAGTATCTTCCAAAGATACTAATAAAAACACCCAGACCACTAAGAGCAACAGCAGAGATTTCCATTTCTTTTTTTTTCAGTGTCTTCTGTACCTGGATCCTTAGTCAGCACCCAGGGATCCTCCTCCAAGGTATCATGGCTTCAGCTCTGGGGAACAGCTGTCAAAACCATGATGCTAAAATGCTCCAAGTTACAGCTCCCCAGTCCCTCTGGTACTACCTGCTTTGCTCTGCAATAGTGGTCTCCTGATGATTCAGTCTGAGAAAACGAACTGAAGTTTGCAAGAGCTCCCTCCTGACCAGTACATTCACATTTCCGTTCCCACGGAAACCACAGGAGAAGATGCTGCAAATCCAGTTCCTGTAAATCTGGTATACTCTTGGATCCTATAACATGGCGATAGTTTATGCAGCTCTAAATTTTAATCCCAAAACTGATTTTAAGCAGTACCGAGCTAAGCCTCCTGGAGGTGCTGCTCTGCAACATAAAAATGAAACGCTGATTCCAGCAATGGGATTTTCTAGCTATTTTAGCAGACCCATTATTTCATTTTAATTGCATCAGAAAAGCACATTTTCCAGAAAACAAGAAGGCATTTAAAATCACTTCTTTTTTCCACCTATATGACTACCAGAACCACAGCCCCTGAAAACTTGCCTAAGCTAGTATGCAATCAAGCATGCACAGGTTAGGTAAAGTCCACTTAGTCTACTATTTACCTGCAGCCTCGTATTAGAAGCAACAACTAAGCCGTTCCTCAGGATGGAATGCCAATTTTCAATGTGTGAACCACTGAAAAAATGAAAAAGAAAGCGTTAAAATCCACAGTGTAAAATGCAAAATGAAATCAGTAATTCTTAAAAATAATAAATTCACAGCTGTAAACCTCAAATGGCAAGAACAAAAAAACAGCATGGCATTTCGATAACCTTCGACTAATATGAATATATGTACTCACTGAAATGCAAAGGTACTTCCGTAGAGATTTTTAGCAGCTCGGAAATTGGATTCTTTGGCTGGTGGACTGCTGAGAAGTAGGAACTGGTGGGGAGTGTGCATAAACTTCAGTTGCTGTAAAATACAACAGGGCACAAGTGAAAAGAATTTGATTAACACAAAAGCATTGTATTTCCATAAAGGTAGTTCTTAAGATACCACGCTGTTTTGCACAATGCATGACTCCATTTAAATAACTACATGAACTACGTTGAAATTGGTCTCATTACCATAATTTTCACCCTAAATCAAACAGTGAAAATGTCTTTCAGTTTATGAAACATATGGAAGTTTCTGAAACAGATTTCAGCCTAATATGGCTCTAGTAAAGTAATTAAACTGAACAATTTTCATCATGGTATTCTGATCAGAGATAGCTTTGAAATAAGGTTCAGATTTGAAAGGTTGCAGATTACTATGCCCTTAATCAGAGGCATCAGAGGCACACACACTCAGAAATAAATCTCAGCACCATTCCTCTAAAATTCAAGAGCTATACTCTCTTAAGGTGTACTCATATGTGGATCTCCTGGTACATTGCGTTTGTGTGTACTGCCTTCTGTACAGCTCCGTATCTAGTATTCTATACGGTAACAAAACAAATAGTGAAGTTATTCTCACCCAATCTCAGACGACTACAAGGTAGACACTTGTATTTGAGCTACTCACCTCAAATAGGCTTTTTCTGAACATTATCTCTTTGACTTATTTTAGATATTCACAACCTGATTCTGTGAGTCATGACCTGGAACTGCCTATTTCTCTCCCTTGTCTACTAATGGAGTCCATTTGATTAGGCTGAATGTAGACACCTGTGTTCGGCTACGAGACTGCCACCTAAAATGCTAATATGAGCCATGAGAAACGAGAAAATAATAAAGAACCCACAGGCACTTACCCTGTTCACCGGTAGCTTCACAATATGTGATCTATTACTAGAAATAACCCTAAAATAAGAAACAGTTAGATGTATTAGACATGGTAACCAAACAGAACTTTTCTTCTTAAAAATGTGTTACAAATGGCCACCATAAAGCACTCCGCTGCAGGTCTTTGAACCTATCAGATGGAAGTAGACCAAATCTTGACTAGAAAATGAGATCAGAGGCTACACAAATAAGCTGGAGTCTTTCCTTTTTTTTCAGAGGGCTTAGATGAGGTCCAGAAACAGTTGCAAATGTCAACTCTGACGTTAACTCTTAGGGTGAGCTTATACCAAATTACACTGTGGAGTGATTATTCATTAAACTTTGTACTTTAATAATTATGATCTTGTGTGAGTGCATTTTATACCATTGTAGTAGAGGATGTGCAAGCGGGTCTTGTTTATCCATCTGCTTCTTTATTTCCAAGTAAGGTGCCTAGAAAAAAGTAATTACGTTCTTTATTTCTAGTTGAAATCACAAGGTTAAATTTTGTATGTTACATTGCCCATGATTTCATCTCTTAAAACGAATACACGGGACTCATTATTAGGCTTAAATCACAGTTTTACTGACGTTTAGCGTTGTACAGTTATAAAAGTGTTTTGACAACAAGAAGAATTAATATAGCAATTATTTTCCCTGGAGTACAATAATAAGCATATAATTAGCATCAAAATTAGTATATTACAGAAAACATTGGTGATCTCAGGGAGAACTGCAGAAGACATCTATTTACGTTTGGCTCTTGGATTAAGAAATTGGACTGGAACTTCACAAAATTAAGTCTCTCAAAATATCTCAAGATAATCCACTCAATTTTTTTTTTAAACTGTTTCATGGCATAAACTGGAAAAATAAAATACTGTATCAGCTTATAATCCCTTTGAAAACCTTTCTTGATTTCAATCACAATGCAAAGCATCCCTGTAAAACTCTTCAGTCTGAGAATTACTTTAACATTAAAAAAAAGAAAATAGTCGTTATTTTTCTTTTAAAAGACATTATATTAGGCAATGGAAATACTCGATTTTTACATGATGTTACATGAAATAACAAAAATACATGAATCTTAATTTTTAATTCATTTTACTCCTCTCTATACACCTCATTCTTCATTCCAGTATCCGAAAGTACTTTATGAATACATACAGAGTAAGAGTTATAAATTGTTGTGAGGTTACATTTATACAGCAGTTGGAAAAGCAAGGTACATAGGAAAGACTGCAATAATTAGTTATAATCAGCTGGGCTGTTTGGGAAAGGAAGTGTAACAATAAACATAAGTACTCTTTTTCACTACGAATATTGAGAAATCATACGGTAGTAATCCCAAGAGACCCAAGCATACTTAGCTGATCAAGTGTTTTGCTATAATAGAAATAAAGCTATCACTCAGAACACTGCCGCAAAATCAATTTCCTTTGCTTTGGAAATAAAAGACCCAGTTTGGCTTTGATATTTCCAGAAATGCAGCAGTTGGTGATTATCTTGACACAATGTCCCATTCTGCTGTTATTATCGCTTATTTAAACTTCAAAAGATCTTAGTTGTACTTCATCACTTTTATTTGATTGCCATTATGGATACTCTAGGTTTGTTATTGTTAACACACATTTTAATATTATTACAGCTCTATAGGAAAGAGATGATACTATTGACTTGCCCATGCATCAAGGCAAGCAATACAAACATCTTCCTCGTTCTAGAAATAGAGATTAAATTAAGAAAAATTTTTTAAACTCACCTGTGTCATCTCTCTAATAGAGGTGATACTGTCCAATGCTTTCATGACTCGGTCATAATTCTTCTTCTGATGTAGCACAAAATAAGCAAACAAATTAAAAGAATATTAGTCTTTGGCTCTACAAAAACCTGAATTCTTTAAGTGTGTATGAAAAAAAAAAACCCACAATCATTTCAACTGTTTCTAACGAATAGCTTCCTTTCACCTCACACATAGACTCTCTTATTCATAGCCCAGGAAAATTCCCTGAAAAAATATTATAATTATGTTTTTTCTTCTAATTACACTGGAATCTCCAACAAATTCAAAAAATTAGCTCACTTTTTAAAAGAGTATTTGCACCTGAACACAGTTTCTGACAGTTCTTTGGACAACATGCTAGTAAGTTAAATAATGCAGTGATGAAATAGATTTTAAGTAAAATACTACATAAATGCTACATAAACAGATGTGTTTACTTTGCTAACAGCTCTGTAAAACATCAGAGGTCCTTCAGTTGTTCCTCTGCCTCACCCTGATCCTTGCCTACCTTCTGCTTGGGAGCCACTACCAGATAGTAGCACCTTTTCTGAGCGGATGAGCTTAAAAGTCCATGCCTCACCAGCTCCATGTCACATCACCTTCAGGACCTTCACTGTTCCCCATCTTTGGGTCCTGCCTACTTCTGCCATGGGCTTTCACCTCGTCCATGCTGGCAAGAAGCTGGGAGGTGGCAGTCTGGGCTCTGCCAGGCCAGGGGCTCTCTCCCTTCCTCTTCTGGTCTGACCCTCTCTCATATTCCCTTGTCTGCTTCAAACTCCCACCTTGTCCAGCCACCAGACTAGCCGTCTCCTCATCAGCCCCCTTCCAAGCACCTTCTGGTGAGTCCTTCTTCCCACATGCTACAGAACATGCTCGTTCCTTCCTGAGGAAGAACAACTGCTAACTGGCCTTTGTTCAGAAAAAGTGAAATGCATCCCAGTGCAGGACATCCAAAGTTCTCATTTATGCCTTTGGGGGATGTATCAGGTGAGATGTAATAGTTCCCAGGTTCTCAAGGGCTTCCCTGACAGGTGGTATTTGCAGCCTGAAGAGCAAGTAGTGCAAACTCAATTCTTTACTTCAAAATTGGTGCTTGTACAAAACTTGACTATTACATCAACGTTTGATAAAACTACATTTAAGGACACAATTGTTTGCAAAGAGAAAATGAGATGACAGCAAGAATCACTGTAGGAATAAAAAGATGGACTGGAAATTCCCTGGTTTACACGGTCTACACCTCCCAAAGGCCATCTTTCTCTTTGTATCCAATGTATACACTGGAAGAATGACACTAAGAATACCAGATTTTGCATCTAGAATTTGTACCCTAAAAGATTTCCTTGGCTTCAACATAACTTTGAAAGTAACTTACATGTTATACTCAGAGACAATTAAAAAAGCTACAAAGTTCTGAAAAAAGTCACACGCTCGTGCTATATTCTGAAGCTATATCTCTCATAATAAAGCAGACTCCTCCAGAAGAAGGCTTTGCTTTAAAATCCCAGGCGTGACTAAAACCAAACTGTGACATAATGAAAGATAACTACTTACCCTGGGGTTAAAGGCCAGCATCTGAGGATCATTAGGATCAACTACAGAAGGATATGGCTCAAAAATGACAACTTTCCTAGGTGACTCTAACGCAGACCGACACATGGATACTAACAGATCAACCACCTACAGACAAAGAAAAATATTTAGTAAATATATGTACTTTCATATTGTATCTTCCAGTCTGCTTTTTCTACACATTCTAATGTGATAGTAATACCATATTTCATTGTTACCTATATTACCCAAACTGTGTTATCCACAGGACATAGTTTAGGACTGAAATTTTTCCATTGACCTCAACAGGCTTTGGGTTTAACCCAGGTGCATAAGTAGGACCAGTATCTGGTCCTAAATGTATTATGATGTCAGATACATTGCTTGCAGTCCTGCTTTCTCTTGTGCGCATGCACTAACTCCTGGACTAAAGTCATTCTCTAAGGAAATAAAGTCGTGCTGGATCTGTGTATCTCTGCACAGTAGATGCCAGCAAAAAATGTTGCTCAAGAACAAGGAAGGGCTTGTGAGTCTGTACCACTGCCTGCTGTTCTCCTGAAGACTGCAATCATGGAAACACTTGTAAACATTGCTTCTGCTAAAGCCAGAACAGTGCAGTGATTTAACAGTCATTTGCACAGCTCACACTGAGAGATCCCCTTTCCTTCCCTCCTGTTGTACAAAATTACAATATGGCTTTGATTATCTATGACTTCCAAGGTTTCACCCTAAGACTATGCGCGTAATGTGTACACAGGCGTGTATTCACATATGCACACGTAGGCACATATGCAACTTAACAATAGATTTCTGTGTAATTGTTTCAAAGGCTCATAATGGCATCAGAAGTTGCTACACAAAAACGTAGCTGCGAATTAGCCCGTTTCCCCATTTCTTCTGTGCCTTCTGAAAACACTCCTGTGTGAAAACAGACTTTCCCATGGTAGAAAGGAAAAGCTGAGAAGAGTCGTACTCAGTAGGCATCCCTGGCTCCTCCCACAATTCACATGCATTAGATCTCATCTCACAGCTCAAGCTGTTCTACAAGTTTTTATATATATGCCATTGATTCTGACTATTAGGAGGAAAAAAACATGGATGGTCCTTTAGAGAAGCAGAATGAAAATAAGAATCATGATGAAAGGGAAAGGGAACTGTGCTGCGGTGAGTCATACTGTGTTGCCGTTCTCCTCCTCTGCTCCTTTAGCGTGAATGGACAATTTTCTCCATCAGTTTAAAAAATTTCTTCTAGTTCCAGTTACAAAATTTCTCACATATATTGAAAAATGAAGTTATTTAAATAATGATCTCTTTCTCCATGGTGCTCTGACTACTTCCCAGTTTCTAATAACTGTAAGTGTGATGAATGTTTCAAAATAGGGCATCTGCATTAGCACTTGGAAAGGAGACCAGGAGTCTGCAGAAAAAGCCAGGTCAGGCAACAGCCCTGCAACTGTGTAAATGTATTGCCACGAAATTGAGTCTGAGTTCATACTCCCTGCTTCTCAGAAGCACTTTTTAGTCCCCAGTCACAAAACACTACTAGGGAAGGGTTGTTTTGAGTCCCCAGATCTCTTAATTCAGTGACTCAAAGTTGTCTTGCTTTATGATTTGCATGATGGGACTTTGTCTTAATACTGGCACAGTTCTTAGAACACCACCTGAAAGCCGTCCTTTAAACCAACTGCTGACATTTATATTGCTTCTCACCATGCTACCTGCATGTTGCTCTGACATGGGGGAAAACATGCATAAATTTGGCTTAGTTAAACCCTTGATTTCCCCTAAGATCATTGTTTTGAGCTGATGGAACACAGAGCAACTTAAACTGAGAGATAAGTCTAATACAAATATTGTAATACAAACTTGCACATGCATTCCTTGGTGATAGGAAGTGCTGTGGACCTAGTAAATGTCCTTATAGCTGGGCCTGAATTCTTTGTCCTTAACAGTAGGTATCGAAGTACATAAGTAAGGATTAAAAATATTTTCAAGGAGGACAAGACGATGCATGCTGATGACAACTCCCTCTTAACAACATCAGTCTCTCAGACAGTGTCTCTCTCTGCAGAGTCTCTCTACAGAGAGTCTGAACTATCAGCAAATGAAGCATTTAATTTTCAGGCATTTTTACTACATGACTAAAGTAAAGCAAGATGAGGACTTAAAAGTTTTAGAAAGTACAGTCACTTGTTATTAAGGGAGCCATCAGAATATCAGAAGTGACAAAGTAGGAATGCACACCTTAGGAAACTGGCTGAAAGCACTGCAGAAAAAATCAGGATGTGATTTCTAATAATGGAAAACTATATTTAGGCTCCTTCAGTACACAAAATGATTTAGAGGAAGATTCATCTGACAAAACGTAAAGATTCACAATGTGAACACCTACCTCTTATTAGTCAGCCTAGGCTGTCTTTATAATCAATGGAGAAAATAACCACCGTGCTATAGCCTATGCTGTGATTCACACTATCCTAAAACAATGTCAGAACTAGCTCAGATGAACCAAACCCTGGAAGTGCTGGATTCTTTCTGCAAACAGGAATAGGAGCTCAATCAGATCAGACGTAGTAAGCTGGGTGCAATGCTATCACTAGAAAGAAACTTAGCAAAATGTAGTCACCTAGGTCCAATGGGACAATCAACAAAACCTCTTATCTAACTCTCTTAAGCCCTGTTAAGGTTTTAATCACTTCAGTACTCTACAGCAAAGCTCTGTAGATACAGAGGTCCTCTAGAGATCTAGAGCAAGCTCTGCATATGCCTGCAATAGTGATACCTGTATAAAATGCAGCGTGAGAGCTAACCAGGACCACCTCTCCAGTCAGTTGTATTTAAAAAGAGAAGTGAGAGCTACTCGTTAGTACCTAATTTACAATGTACATTTAATGTACCATGTAAGTTTGTACCTCATTTTTCCCTAACTTTAGCAAGGTATATTTAGCAAAATAGAATTCCAGTCTAGGACGCCGGAAAACTGCCTTCAGAGACAAGGGAGCAGAACAGGGCCGGCGGACCTTTAAGGATGCTTTCCATAGAGTGCAAGAGCTCTTGATCTCCAGTAAGAAATCAGGAAAGGAAGGCAAGAGACTGGCACTGCTCAGTCAAGACCTGCTGGTCAAACTAAAGGGCAAGAACAAAATGCACGGGCAGTAGGAGCAGGGACAGGTATCCTGGGAAGAGTATAGGGACTCTGCCCGGTTGTGTAGGGATGTAGTCAGGAAGGCCAAGGCACAGATGGAGTTGAACTTGGCAAGGGATGCAAAGAATAGTACGAAAGGCTTCTGTAGGCATGTGAGCCAGAAAAGGAAGGTCAAGGAAAGTGTAGCCCCCGTGATGAACACGACCAGCAAACTGGCAACAACAGACGAGAAGAAGGCTGAGGTACTCAACAACTCAACAACTCAACAACATTCATAAGTCTATGGGACTTGATAAGATGCATACCAGAGCCCTGAGAAAATTTGCCAATGTAGATGCCAAGCCACTCTCTATGGTATTTGGAAAGTCATGGCAGTCAGGTGAAGTCCTTGGTGTCTGGAAAAAGCAAAACATTCTACCCATTTTTAAAAAGGGTAGAAATGAAGACTCTGGGAACTATTGACCTGTCAGCCTCACCTCTGTGCCTAGAAAGATCATGGAGCAGATGCTCCTAGAAGCTATGCTAAGGCACATGGAGGACAGGGAGGTGATTCAAGACAGCCAGCATGGCTTCACCAAGGGTAAGTCCTGCCTGATCAACCTAGTGTCCTTCTATGATGGAGTGACTAAACCAGAGGACAAGGTAAGAGCTACCGATGTCATCTATCTGGGCTTCTGTTAAGGCCTTTGACATGGTCTCCCACAACATCATTCTAAATTGGAGAGATATGGATTTGATGAGTGGACTGTTCTGTGGATAAGGAATTGGCTGGATGGTCACACCCCAGAGGGTAGTGGTCACTGGCTCAATATCCAGATGGAGATCGGTAATGAGTGGTGTCCCTTAAGGGTCTGTACTGGGACCAGTGTTGTTTAGTATCTCCATCAGACATAGACAGTAGGATTGAGTACACCGTCAGCAAGCCTGCAGATGACACACTTCTCAAGCGGTGAAGTTGACACACCTGAGGGACAAGATGCCATCCAGAGTAGGCTCATGTGAATCCTATGAGGTTCAATGAGGCCAAGTGCAACGCCCTGCACCTGGAGAGGGGCAACCTCTGGAATAAATACAGGCTGGGGAATGAACAGTTTGAGAGCAGCCCTATTGAGAAGGACTTGGCAGTGCTGGTGGATGAAAAGCTCAACATGAGCTGGCAATGTGTGCTTCAGAGCCCAGAAAGCCAACCGCATCCTGGGTGGTATCAAAAGAAGCGTGGCCAGCAGGTTGAGGGAAGTGACTTTGCTCCTCTGCTCTTGTGAGACCTCACTTGGAGTATTGTGTTCAGCTCTGGAGTCTTCAGCACATGAAAGACATGGACCTGCTGGAACAGGTCCAGAGGAGGGTCACAAAAATGATCACAGGGACAGAACATCTCTCCTATGAAGACAGGCTGAGAAAGTTGGAGTTCTTCAGCCTGGAGAAGAGAAGGCTCCAGGGAGATCGTATTGCGGCCTTTCAGTACTTAAAGGGGGCTTATAAAAGATGGGCGCAAACTTTTTAGCAGGGCCTGCTGTGACAGGACAACGGGTAATGGTTTTAAACTAAAGGAGGGTATAGTCATACTAGATATAAAAAAGAAATTTTTTAGGATGAGGGTGGTAAAACACTGCAACTGGTTGCCCAGAGAGGTGGTAGATGCCCCATCTGTTGAAACATTTAAGATCATGTTGGATGGGGTCTGAGCAACCCAGTCTAACCATTCTATGATAAGATGTTCCTGCTTGTTGCAAGGGGGAGTTGGACTGGATGACCTTTAAAGGTCCCTTCCAACCTAAACTATTCTATGATTCAAAATGTACAGGTAATGTACCATGTAAATGTCTGAATTAAAATACAAAACTCTAGCTTTCCAGAAACACATAGCTGAGGTGTTCAGAGGACTTCAGGATGAGGAAGAGGTGAGGCTTCATCAGCACACCTCTCTCTTTCTTACAAGCTTACACAGTATCCCAATGTTTAGTATACTAGATGTTGCAAATATAGTCATCCAATGGTCTTCAGACATCAGGTGAAGAGCTGATGGTCAGTTCCCACAGACACATTCTCAAGTGAAGACACTGGTGCACATTGCTGCAAGTTTCTTTGTTTGAGGAGATGCCCATAGGCAGTATTCAGGCACTTAGCCAAACAGTTTATTCCAGGAGCTAGACTCACTAGTGCTAGTTAAAATTAACTCAACTGAATGTTTGCTCCTCAAAAAAAATATGTTGCTTACTACATAAATGCACAGTGAGTAATACACGTCTAGGAGATTAGAGAGGAATGTGCTTTTCAATAAGATGTGTAAACTGTTAAGATCTTAAAAGGATCTTAAACATAAGATTTTTTAAATTTTGAATTTACTGTTATCTAAGGTTAAATGATGACTTGGAAACATAGTTTAAAATACTTTGTTTTAAGGCACATGCAAAATTGTGAAAGAAAACAATGATATGGTTATAATTCCATTAATAACTGAACTTAGAGTTCAAGATTATATTAAATTCTTGATCCTTGAGAAGAGAAAAAAATCCATGTAGCAACATCAGTGATGACTTTCCCACTGCTATTTAATGATCGAAACAATAGATGCTCAGTGGATAGCTGCATCCCAACATCATGAACAGGAAGTAGCTTATTAATTGCATGAGAGTAGTAATGGCTCATTAGGTGAAAATAAATGGGAATTCTCTCCAAATGACAATGGCTGCTTTTATTAACAACCCAGGTGACCTAATTGAATACAGCAGAGCAAGAAAACAGGGTTACTCTAATTACATGGAAGCAAAACAATGGAAGCACCTCATTAGTACCGTTTGAAAACGCCACACATAAAACGGCGTATTTACAGCTGTAAGAGTAGATAAATAAATAATACTTACCCAACAGTACTCATATGGGGAATACAAGTCAAAATAAGTACTAGAAGAGACTGAGAAGACAGAGTATACTATAGAAAATCAGATATGTAACAAGCATTAGATAATTCTACCTGAGCCCCAGTTGCAATTTCATCAGCAGCTTCGTTCATCACTCCTAATGTTTGGAAAGCAAATACACAGAGCTCCCGTTCACAAACAGTGGGCTACACAGAGAAAGAAAGTTAATTATATTTTTGTTCTAGTTTTAGGTTCTTGGTTTTCTCAAGTAATACCTACAACAAAACCCAAACATTTAACATTATTTTTTTCTTTGGATATTAACTGCAACATTAATTTCAAATTATGACTATAAGCCAATTATTGAGGAAGATACCTTAGGCAAGCATTTTAATAATCTGAAGAACAAGTGTGAAGAACTCTCAAAGTCATAAGTACTCACAGAGGCTAAACTTAAAAGAAATCCAAACAGATTACAAAACCAAAATTACAAGCAGAGTACCCAAATGTCCTTAGCATTAGACTCTGAAAACTTCCTACATAATTAAAATTAATGGAGAAAAAATCCAGAAACTAATAGGGTCACAGCCCCTTCATAAATGCAGGTTTACTCTTCACAGCTTCTGCTGAGAATGCACATAAAAATCTGATGTAGAAGACAAATTTCTTGAAGAAACGACTTTTAATTTAATTTTTTAACTAGTTTAACAATTTATTTGTAAATTTTAAGAAATGCATTACATTTTTACAGAATAAACACCTTATTTGGGAAGCATCACATGTTATTTTAATAAATCAAGGAGCTTCCCCTCTTTTCTCAGATACAAAAAATAATTTCAAAAAACTTGCTGTTGGACTAGTTTTTTGCCTACATTTTTGAAAAATTTAATTCATAATGTCATTACAATGATCAAATAAAAAAAAAATATTTAAACTGAGTATTGAGTGAGAACTGAGTACTCTGCCTTCATAAAGCAAACAAAGCAGAAAAAAGAAAGAACACAGCTTTAAGTAAAGAGAATAGGCATGACTTCACAGGCTTCCTAATTGGTTACAACCCTTACAGCAACTCCATGCTTATTTACTGAAAGATAATTAGCAGATTAACTTTGTAAAAGCTCAAGTAATGAATCATGCAGTGAATTGTTATAAGCATTCAAAATAAACAAACAGTTGAAAGAAATACAAGAAGGAAACACAAATTAAAATCCTTCCTTAAAATTGACCCCAATAAACTAATTTTTTATTACAATGTTGAAAACAACAAAAAATATTTTTTGGATAGTATTCCTTTGAATCCATATTATTAAATCCTAGCTCACTGAAACTTAAAATGATCTTTGGTAGGCACTACTGCATTTTTGAACTAAAAACTCTGAGTCTAGCTACCATGATAACCACTAAAGCATTCATAACAGTAAGCTTTTAAGTTCAAGCCGATGTCTCTAGGAAGCACTTGCAGAAATGAAAAAATGAATTAAGCACACAAAGAAAACATAAAATTTAGCTGAATTCCGTTTCAGGCAACAGCTTTGTCAGTAACAAGCACACTGCTGTATTTGTAGTCACTTGTCTCATAGCCCTTAAAATATGCATTTGCTGGGTTTCAAAGATTCAAGACATCAATAAACATCTGAAATTGACTGCATTGATATATGATCACATCAGTTGCTTTACAAGAGCTATCATCTTTCAAGTCTAACAGAGTGCCACCCATTTGATTTATTTTATCTGCTACGTTACATTGCATTAGGCAGCAGATGAAGCCTAACGTGATCCAATTCGCTGTGCCATGGCACGCTAGACAAAAATAATTCATTATTGTCATTACTCTTAAGTTTTCCACATTTAGAAGGTGGTTAAATCATTTGCTTAGTTGAGGAAGCATGCTGGCACTAACACCTTGACTAACATAATCAACAGTATACACAGACTCCCTTTCATTCCCAAGCAAGGGATTGATCTGGAATATCAGAGCAATCTAAGATTAGCCACACTTGCCAGGAAGTAAAATGTTAAGAAAATACTTATTTTTGACATTTAGTTTACAACTTCAACAAAGTAAGTTATCCTGAAACTTAAAGATGGCAAAGGGAACACAGATTTGTCATCTTTACTCTTCGCCCTCCCCCGTCTGCCCTGTGTTAATGATCTCAGAAATGTCTGAGCATCTGGAAAAAGGAAATTAGGAAAATGGTCACTGTACTTATGTTTGACATTTAAAAGGCCTTTCTTCTCTCAAGTGGGCACTGGAGCTTAGATCTTATGGCTGGAGAACTGTAGATATGAGGAGAAGCCAGACAGCAAAATTTGAGCTCTGAAGAGGAACAGACATTACTGCTAGGCTCTACATAATTCTTCTGATTTTATATATTTGATGAACCTTGATGCCCACTGAATATTTTGGCTCTGCAGTCTAATGGGGAAAATAACCCAAACTCTGTAAGTATACGGACACTTCAATAGCCTGCCTTCATCTATCCACCCTGGATGCTTTCTAACACAAACTCTAGCATTTTTAAGAACATTTTGAATCCTGTTTCAGACATTTATCCCAATTTAACCAAATAAGGTGCTTTTAACTTGAATTTCCCGCAAGCGTTAGTAGAGTGCTCCCAGAGATGTTGGTATGGCTGTTTCACGGTCCGCTACTTCAGTCATTCGTTAGGTGCAAACATTTAAACTTCTTTCTTCCCCTCCAAAATGAAAAGATTATCTTACAATTAAGAAGAAACAGTTCATAGAATCATAGAACCATAATAGAATCACAGAATGGTTTGGTTTGGAAAGGACCTTAAAGATCATTTAACTCCAACTCCCCAGGCACAGGCAGGGACACTTTCCACTACACCAGGTTGCTCAAAGCTTCATACAACCTGGCCTTGAACACTTCCAAGGATGGGGCAGCCACAACTTCTCTGGGCAACCTGTTTCAGTGCCTCACCACCCTGAGAGTTGAAGAAGTTCTTACTTGGATCTAATCAAAATCTACCCTCTTTCAGTTTAAATCCATTGTTCCTTGTTCTACCACTACATGCTCTTGTAAAAAGTCCCTCTCCAGCTTTCCTGTAGGCCCCCTTTAAGTACTGGAAGGCTGCCAGAAGGTGCCTCTGAAGCCTTCTCCTCTTCAGGCTGAACAGCCCCAACTCTCTCAGCCTGTCTTCATAGCAGACGTGTTCCAGCCCTCGGATCATCTTTGTGGCCCTCCTCTGGACTCGCTCCAGTAACTCCATGTCCTTCTTGTGTTGGGGACTCCAGAGCTGAACACAGTATTCTAGGTGGGGTCTCACGAGAGCTGAGTAGAGGGGCAGAATCACTTCCCTCGACCTGCTGGCCACACTTCCTTGGATGCAGCCCAGTTGGCTTTCTGGGTTGCCAGCGCACATTGCCGGCTCATGTTGAGCTTCTCATCCACCAGCACTCCCAAGTCCTTCTCCTCAGTGCTGCTCTCAAGCCATTCTCTTCTCAGCCTATATTTGTGCCTGAGATTGCCCCGAGCCATGTGCAGGACCTTGCACTTGGCCTTGTTGAACTTCATGATGTTCTCACAGGCCCACCTCTCCAGCCTGTCAAGGTCGCTCTGGATGGCATCCCTTCCCTCCAGCGTGTCCACAACACCACACAGCTTGGTGTTGTCTGCAAACTTGCTGAGGGTGCACTTGATCCCACTGTCCATATCACCAACAAAGACAGCACCAGCCCCAATACCGACCCCTGAGGAACGCCACTCATCACTGGACTCCACTTGGACATCAAGTCATTGAGTGCAACTCTCTGAGTGCCGCTATCCAGCCAATTCTTAATCCACTGAGTGGTCCATCTGTCAAATCCGTGTCTCTCCAGTTTAGAGACATGGATGTTGTGCAAGACAATGTCAGATCTTCGCACAAGTCCAGGTAGATGATATCAGTTGCTCTTCCCTCTTCCCTTATCCAACAACACTGTAACCTCATCGTCGAAGGCCATCAAATCAGTCAGGCAGAATTTGCCCTTAGTGAAGCCATGTTGGCTGTCATCAATCACCTCCTTATTTTCCCTGTGCCTTAGTATAGTTTCCAGGAGCATCTGCTTCATGATCTTCCCAGGCACAAAGGTGAGACTGACTGGCCTGTAGTTCACTGGGTCTTCCTTTATTTCCTTTTTAAAAATGGGGGTTTTGTTTTCCATTTTCCAGTCTTTGGGAAGTTCACTGGTCTGCCAAGACTTCTCAGATATGATGGATAGTGGCTTAGTAACTTCATTTGTCAGTTCCCTCAGAACCCTCAGATGCATCTCATCAGGTCCTATGGACTTGTGCACCTTCAGGTTGCTTAGACAGTCTCAGACCTCATCTCCTCTTACAGTGGGTGTTTCTTCATTCTCCCGGTCCCTGCCTTTGCCTTCTGCAAATTGGGCTCTGCGGCTGGAGCACATGCCAGTGAAGACTGAGGCAAAGAAGTCATTTGGTACATCAGCCTTCTCCATAACCCAGATAACCAGGTCTCCAGTTTGCTTGCGGAGAGATCCCACATTTTCCCTACTCCTCCTTTTAGCACTGACATATCTATAGAAGTTTTTCTTGTTGCCCTTGATGTCCCTGGCCAGATTTAGTTCTACCTGAGCTTTAGCTTTTCTAACCTGATCCCTGGCTGCTCAGAAAATTTCTCTGTACTCTTCCCAGGCTACCTGTCCCTGTTTCCGCCCTCTGCAGGCTTCCCTTTTGTGTTTGCGTTTGTCCAGGAGCTCCTTGTTCATCCATACAGGCCTCCTAGTGTTTCTGCCTGATTTCCTTTTTGTTGGGATGCACCGTTCCTGAGCTTGGAGGAAGTGATCCTTGAATATTAACCAGCTTTCTTTGGTCCCTCTTCCCTCCAGGATTCTCTCCCATTGTACTCTACCAAGCAGATCACTGAAGAGCCTGAATTCTGCTCTCCTGAAATCCAGAGTAGTGAGCTTGCAAAGCACCCTCCTCACTGCCCTAAGGATCTTGAGCTCCACCATTTCATGATCATTACAGCCAAGGCTGCCCTTAAGCTTCATATTTCCCACCACCTCCTCTTTGTTGGTGAGAACAAGGTCCAGCATAGCACCTCTCCTTGTTAGTTGCTCTTTCACTTGGACCAGGAAGTTATCATCAATGCATTCCAGGAACCTCCTGGTTTGCTTATGTCATGCTGTGTTGTCCCTCCAACAGATATTAGGGTGGTTGAAGTCTTAGAATCATAGA